ATAGATAGATAGATAGATAGATAGATAGATAGATAGATAGATAGATATGTATGTATACCACCAAGCCATATGTATACATATATATGGATGTATGGATGCATGGGTGGATGGATGGATAGATAGTTGCTAAGATGACAGAGTGAGAGATATTAGATAGCTGATAGATATAGATAGACAGATTATGTATATATGAAGACCTATGGATGGGTGGATGGGTGGATAAACAGTTGGTAAGATGATGGAGTGAGAGATAATAAATAACTGATAGTTACACAGAGATAGATAGATAGATAGATAGATAGATAGATAGATAGATAGATAGATAGATAGATAGATGGATAGATAGATGACAGTCGATAAAGAGTGAGAGAGATAATACATAGCTGATGAAGAGATAGCTGGAAACAGGCAGAAAAAGACAGACAGACAGACAGGCAATCCTTCTGTTCTTCTCATGGTACCTGCTGTTAGGTATTCAGTCTCAGCTCCAATCCATCCATCGCCCCCTCTCCTTACTTGGTATAGGCAGTATCGTGAAGCCCACCCTCCCAAACTGAATAAGGATATCGTTTGAGAAGGACCATCTTCTAATTTGCATTTCTGCAGGGCCCAGTGAAGACTCCTCCCATTGGCAACCCTTAAAATAATACTTTCTGGTGCTGAATCAGCTGGTTGAGCGCACCAATAACATAATGCAACAAACCTGGGTATGATTTAGCACCCTGTGTGAATTTGCTTTCTCTCAATGAAGCCTAAAGCTGCAGCTCTGCAAACAAATACACCTCTGCATTTTGCTATTCCCCAGGCAGGAAATTTGGGAAACGTGTGTCCATTTCTTGCAAACCAAGAGCATAAAAAGTGCTCCGTAAAATCCACAACCGGTTGGAGAATTAGGTGGGGCCGCTATTCTTAAAGTTCTTTTTTGTGTGTGTTGAAATAAACCTTATCTCTCTCTCTCTCTTCTTTTTCACCCTCTGGTTTCTTTTCGGAATGGAAAAAGCGTATCCTATACTGGGGAACGCGCATCGTTTGGAAAGATCAGCCAGAGACTGCTGGTATCTAAACAGGAGAATTCCTAGAGGGGCGAACAGATGACGCCTTTTCCTGAAAACTCTTCTTATCTCTCACTTGAGGTTTATCCAGAACATGATTAGCAGTTTCCATGCTTCCATTCTATGCGCCCGAAAATAATGTTGCGGCAATGAGAAAGTTTCAGTTCAATGGCTATTTATGTGAAACTGTTGTATATTAAAAAGATCACCTTCCAATGTGGTAAAGTCAACTGCATCAAGAACAGGCTGAAGTGGATTGATTCCAGAATAAAAGGGTAAGAAGGGACCTTGGAGGTCTTCTAGTCCAGCCCATTGCTGAAGCAGGAGACCCTACATCATTTTGATAAGTGGCTGTCCAGTCTCTTCTTAAAAACCTCCATGTTGGAGCACCCATAACTTCTGAAAGAAAGCTATTCCTCTGGTTGATTGTTCTCACTGTCAGGAAATTCTTCCTTATTTCTAGGTCGCCTCTCTCCTTGATTAGTTTCCATCTGTGGCTTCTTGTCCTGCCCTCAGGTGCTTTGGAGAATAGTTTGACTCCCTCTTCTTTGGGGCAGCCCCTCAAATATCTGATGACTCAGAGGTGGGTATTCCGCAGGTTCTGACCAGTTCTGGAGAACCGGTAGAGGAAATTTTGAGTAGTTGGGAGAACTGGCAAATCCCGCCTCTGACTGGCCCCACCCCCATTAATTCCCTGCCTCCCATTGAATCCCAGCTGATTGGCTGGGTCTTCTTTGGTTGCCCTGCACAGGAGAACGGAGCTGGAAAGCAGGTTAGTGGGGTGGGGAGGAAATGGGGATTTGCAGTATCCTTCCCCTGCCACGCCCACCGAGACATGCCCACAGAACAGGTAGTAAAATTTTTTGAATCCCACTACTCTATCATGTCTCCACTGGTCCTTCTTTGCATTAACCGTTCTTCGTATGTTTAGAATCCAGCCCCCTAATAATTCTCCGTTGCTCTTCTCTGCACTCTTTCCATAGTCTCAACATCTTTTTTTTTTATAATGTGGTGACCAAAGCTGGATGCAATATTCCAAGTGTGGCCTTACTAAGATTTTGTAGGGCGCTACTAGTACCCTCGTGTTATCCTGATTCTATCCCTCTATGACTATAATGAAAATTCCAAATTCAACTGATTCCCATCAATAATTGGGAATCAGCTAAATTTGGTGAGTCACTTAATTGGGTCATTATTGTGGATTCACTTTCTGTGAGTGAAAGAGGGTAAAGACAGGTCCTCCCTAATAGTCCCCAGAGTTCATAGGGATGGTAGCATGCTTTAGTTTGGCAAGATTCTTACAAGATGGATAGATCAGTTTCCCAACCTTTTTGGCTTTCTGGACCGGCCAGGGGGTGGTTGTGCACGAAGTGGGGATAGTTCCACACAAGCTGCGGGCAAATGCGTGTGCAGCTCCAATTGCATGAGAAGCGAGCATGCGTATCCACCGCTCGCACAAATGGAGCACGCGCACATCTGCTCTCCCATTGCTTGGGCAACTGGAGATGCGCATATGTACGCCTGCCACTTCTGTAGCCCGGTTCTGAAAAGTTAAAGGCCTGGTATTGGGCCACATCCATGGGATTGGGGGACCCATGAGAGAGATGGGTAGATAATAGATTGAGAGAGATGATAGTTGAAAAAGAGATAGAGATGATAGATAGATAGATAGATAGATAGATAGATAGATAGATAGATAGATAGAGATAGAGATATACAGACAGCCAGGGATAGATAGATAGATAGATAGATAGATAGATAGATAGATAGATAGATAGATAGATAGATAGATAGATGATAGGAAGATGGATAAATGGATAGATGGCTAGATAGATGTTAGATAGGTATAGATTGATTGATTGATTGATTGATAGATTGAGAGAGATAATACCTGATAAAGAGAGAGATGATAAATGATAGATAGATAGATAGATAGATAGATAGATAGATAGATAGATAGATGATAGGTAGATGGATAAATGGATAGATTGATAGATAGATGTTAGGCAGGTAGATAAATTTATAGATTGATTGAAATAGGTAATAGATAGAGATAAAGAGATAGAGAGATGATAAATGATATAGATGATAGGTAGATGGGATAGATGGATGGATAGATAGATTGAGAGAGGTAATAGATAGCTGAAAAAGAAATAAGAGAGATGATAAATGATAGATATAGATGGAAAGATAAACAGACAATAGGTGAGGAACAATAAAGAAATTGGCTTGAAAGCAGCACAGTGTGGTTTTCCTGGTTTTTGGACCCTGACAGTCCTGGGATTGTGTGATCCCCCATTTACAATTCTCCTCGGGGACTTCTGACAAATAGAATCAAGGAAGGAAGCCAGAGTCACCTATTGACTCTATCATTCATTTAACAACTGCAAGAATTCACTTAACAACCATAGCAAAAAAAGGTTGTAAAACTAGATGTGCCTCCCTTAACAGCTCCCCTGCTTAGCAGCATAAATCCTGATCCCCACTGTAGTTGTTAAAGGACTTCAGAGAAGAGGAACTAAGATGATTTAAAAGCCTGGAGAAAAAAACATCTGAAGAGTGGTTGTGGGTTTGGGGTATGGCTAGTCTAGAGAAAAGAAGGACTAGGGGAGACATGATAGCGGTCTTCCAATATCTCAGGGGCTGCCCCAAAGAAGAGGGAGTCAAGCTATTCTCCAAAGCACCTGAGGGCAGGACAAGAAGCAACGGATGGAAACTAATCAAGGAGAGAAGCAGCCTAGAACTAAGGAGAAGCTTTCTGACCGTGAGAACAATTAACCTTTGGAACAGCTTGCCACCAGAAGTTGTGGGGGTCCCTGGAGGTTTTTAAGAAGAGACTGGACAGCCAGCTGCCTGAAATTGTATAGGGTCTCCCCTTGAGCTGGGGGTTGGTCTAGAAGACCTCCAAGATCCCGTCCAGATTCCATTCCATTCTTACTTCTCTTCTCTTCTCTTCTCTTCTCTTCTCTTCTCTTCTCTTCTCTTCTCTTCTCTTCTCTTCTCTTCTCCTCTCCTCTCCTCTCCTCTCCGCCTATGCCTATATTATACCTATATCTTGAAATACAAGACTCCAAACTTTTCCCCTGCAATTCATCTGTGATAGGCTTCATCTGTAGTCCTCCTCATTTAATCTACCCCAAGAGCTTTCCTGAAAAGACCTCGAGGGTCTAAATCAGAGGTGGGGAAATAAGACAACCTTTATGACTTGTGGACTTCAGCTGCCCTAGCTAGAATAGGAATTCTGGGAGTTGAAGTCCACAGGCCATAAAAGGGCCACAGTTCCACATCCTTGGTCTAAATCAGGCTCGTCCAACCCGCGGCCCACGGGCCGCATGCGGTCCAGGTTGCCTCGTAATGTGGCCCAGTGCCCACCCCAACCTTCATGCCAGAGCCAGCAAGGAGGAGGAGGAGAGGCAGGCGCAAGGCGAGGAGAGGCGAGCACCACGCCAAGCAGCAACAGAAAAGGCAGGCGCCCTCAGAGTGCCACCTCCTGCTGTTGCCGTTGCCGCTGCCGCTGCTGCTTCTGCCTTCCAGTCCTGCCTCATCCAGCCGGGCCATTTGCAGGAGGAGAGGTAGGCACAAGGCGGGTGAGCTTTCTTCCCCCCCTCCCCCCCCACCCCGCAAAATTTGGCCGGAAAATAAACCGTGATAAAAAAAAAATGTGATAAAAAATAAATAATTTTTAATAATTAATAATAAATAATAAAAATAATTTGGCCGTATTTTGGCTTGAGTTTGGCCGCAGAGCCAAACTGCGATCTGGCAACCCTGCGCCCCATCCATTATATTAGCTCCGCCATCTTATATTAGCTCCACCATCTTGCGGCCTGTGCCACTTTCTGGTAGTCAGGAGACTAAGGCTGGGTTCACACAACGGATTTTGACACAAAATTGGCTGTGGAATTCTGCATTGGTAGCTGAGAAACAATGTCAAACATCTCACTAACTTCATTACCAAATAAATTTAATATGTTAACTATGTTTTCTATGGGTTTTTTGGATGATCAGGTATCGTTACTGTTATTTTATTTTATGTGCGGCCCAAACCAAATTTTCATCTTCTAATCTGGCCCAGGGAAGGTGAAAGGTTGGACACCCCTGGTCTAAATAAAGAGACGTCCTTCAGATCTGCCTTGCAAAGAAACCTGCCTGCATTCTCCACCCGGTTGGACAACCAAGGGAAGACAGTCCTTAAGACCCAATGCTATTTTTTTTGTTATTGTTGTGGAGCAGAGCAGCTCTGTTTAGGAACAATTTGTTGCTGGAAATGGACTTGTTTAAAGCGGACTCACAAGAGAGGAAACATACTGGCTGCATCCTCTTTCTTCACCGTGAAACAATAACAGTAACCTCCTTTTGTTGAGGGCCAAGGGAAACACACCAGGCAACACACACACACACACACAATAGCAGTTGGCCGAGCGAGAAGAGAAATTTGAGTGAGGCTTCAGAAAAACTGCGCTGGGTAAAACTTCCCCCTGGCTTGCTAGGAAAACAAGCATGGATAAAAGAGGCCCAACGAGAAGGGGAAAGGAAAACCATTTTGTATCACGGTCCTTTTTGGACCAGCATTGAACAGAAGCCAGCTTCGTTACCAGAGTACAGTTAGCTTTGAATATTTTGCTGAACTTTGGCGTGGCCTAAAGTTTCTGAGACAGAAAATTACCCCCGTGTCGGAAGCAATATGGTTTTTCTCCTTAGTATTTCCTTGGTTAAGCTGAAATTCTGGTCTATTTGTTTCTTCTTTGTTTGATTTTTTAACTTTTTTATTGTTCTTTTGAATGGTGTGCAAATGTTGTTCTCCTCTATGTGCCTGATGATGGCTGTTTTGTCTGAGCGCCAGGCATTCTCTTGTTTTTTAGGGACCTGGCTTGGTCTACGATGCTCACAGTTTCCCTGTGGAAACTTTGGTTAATTATACCTATGTGACATGAAGTTCAACACGTGTTGCAAACACTAATCGGTATTCGTGCATGTGTTGTGCTAATCTTCTGCCTGTCATTTTTCTGTAATTTTATAAGTTGATTTTTTTTTTATAAAAAAAACAAAGGAATAAAAGATATATAGACCAGAAAAATTTTGAAGAAGAAAATCAAGAAAAAGAAGAATGGAATGGAATGGAATGGAATGGAATGGAATGGAATGGAATGGAATAGAATAGAATAGAATAGAATAGAATAGAATAGAATAGAATAGAATAGAATAGAATAGACAGGATGGAATGGAATGGAATGAAATGGAACAGAACAGAAAAGAAGAGAATAGAAAAGAATAGACTAGAAGAGAAGAGAATAAGAATAAGGACTGAGCAGAGTTGAAGAGAGTAGAACAGAATAAAAGGGAAGGGAGAAGAATAAGTAAACTAATCTCTCTTCCCCAACTTTTCTCAAGTTATCCCAAGATGGTGCTTGCCAAGTTCTGCCTGCTCCCACCCCACTGCTGCATCAGTTTCCATAAAAATGCAGTTCCATTGTCAATCAAAGCCTTATTGGCTCCTTGGACAGCACGACAGCTGTTAGCGACCTCGTGAATATACTAAACATCTTGAATCATTTTTTTCGGCACAGGCTGCTATAGGGTTGAATTCAACTCAGAGAGCTGTTACACCCTGGAGCGCAGCTACGTGTTTGTTTTTATCAACAAGCAGATGTTGTTATAGTGATGGGAAGAAAAGGATGGGGTTTTTGGTTTAGAATCTGCATTATTTCAATCCCGAATCTATAAGTCAGTGTTTTTATTTTTTTTATGCACCTTGGTCCTTGCCGACCACAGGGGTTAACAGCAGGGTCTTATAAACCCAAGGGCACTCAGAGATGCAAATTAAAACCAATTGGATTTAATCCCCAAGTCAAATTGATTTTTCAGATTGGATTATTGTCTTGGATCAAATTAAAGCAGTTGTCTCCGCTTTCTTTTTTGCACATGTCACCAAGTGTTCTTCTCTTATGTAACTGTCTCGCTTCAAAATTGACCGTATGTTCCTCTAGTCAGCTATCTTTCCTTTTAAATCAAATTAATTCCATTACAAAGGAAGATAAAACACAAAATAACAGAAATAAAATAATTGGGAAGGAGGGGGAGGGATCCAAAAATTTAAAAGTGAAAAGCTTTTTTTTCCTTGTCCCTTTCTAAATAGAGGATCACTATTTCAAATAGAGGGTCACTTTTATAGACAATTTCTATTACCTACAAAAGCCTTAGTCAACTTTGGCTACTTTAAGATGGGTGGACTTCAACTCACAGAATTCTGGGAGTTGAAATCCGCCCATCTTAAAATGGCAACATTCACCAAAATTGAGCTACTAAACTGAAGCCCAACTATCTTAAAAGTGGCCAATGTTCATCAAAATTGATCAAAGAAGAGCGGGTAAACTTATTCTCCAAAGCCCAAGAAGGCAGGACAAGAAACAATGGATGGAAACTAATCAAGGAGAGAAGCAACTTGGAATTAAGGAGAAACTTCTTAACAGTGAGGACAATTAACCAGTGGAACAGCTTGCTACCAGAAGCTGTAGGCGCTCCACCCCTGGAGGTTTTTAAGAAGTGATTGGACAGCCGCTTGTCTGAAATGGGATAAGGTTTCCTGCTTGAGCGGCAGGCTGGACTAGAAGACCTCCAGGGTCCCTTCCAGCTCTATTCTGATTCAAAACTAATGTCCACCCCTCTTAAAGTGGCCATGTTGACCAGAACTGAAGTCTACAACTCTTAAAGCGGACCGCATTCATTTACAACAATGAATATGTCTATTTCATATTCCACCCAGCTTTCGATAATGAGATGGGGCAGTATATAAATTTAATTAATAAATGAAATAAATATTCTGCTTTTGGGGCTGTAAGCCCCATGCTATCAACTTCCAACCCATTGTTTCTCAACCTTGGCCAAAAAGCTGGCTAGAGAATTCTGGGCAATGATATATTCAGCCATTTTAAAGCTGTCAAGGTTGAAAAAAAGGCCTTCTAATCCCTGTGACGTTGTATAGGAACAGTGAGAACTCTAAAACGGAATCGGAAGGACCATCTCTAACCTGTTTGTTCGAATGATTTTTGTTCCTGTTGCTGTCCAAAAATCCACCGCATTTGCCAAGGGCGGCGAGATCCTTCATAATAGAATTAAGAACTTCTTCCTCATCTGCAAAGAGAAAAAAGAAAAGGAAAATTAGATTCGATCCCTGAAACTCTGGGGCATCTCCTCAAGGCCCATATAATACACGGCACAAATAGATAGGTAGTCCTCGGCTTACAGAGGTTCAGTTAGTGACCATTCAGAGTTACAACAACACTGAAAAAAGTGACGGGACCATTTTTCACACTTATGATCAGACGCTTAGCAACAGAATCGTATTTATGACCGCTGCAGTCTCCCACATGGCTCCCTTTGGGGACCTTCTGACAAGACGAAAGCCCGGTTCACTCACAGTCGCGTTACTAACTTTAAAACTGCAGTGATTAACTCAACAACTGCGGAAAGAAAGGTCGTAAAATGGGGTGAAGCTCATTTAACAACTGTCTTGCTTAGCAACAGAAGTTTGGGGCCGTAAGTTGAGGGCTACCTGTATGGAAGCCTTCTCTTGGTGGTGTAACCAAGATCTCGGAGAGGTACCCCATCCCTCAGTGGGGAAGAAAGGGAAAGGCACAGAGAGATAGAACAATAATACCCACCCCTAAATTTGGATTACAAATTGCTTGCAGTGTTGCTGGAGAGCAATCAATATTTCTTCCCTACGGAAGTGCTGGCTATCATTTAGAATGAGGTTGCAACAGAAGGAATAAAGTTGTACAGGAAAAAAATAAATGTTTTCAGTCAGAACCTTCAGCTGCTCAAACACCCAAATTGGGTGGGTGGGTGGTATTTATTCCCCTCCCCCACCCGAAAGAAAATATGAACGAGCAGTCCTCTTCTTACAACCGTTCATTGAGTGAGGGTTCGAAGGTACAACAGCACTGAAAAAAAGTGGCTTCAGACGTTTGTCACATGACTTCAGGAAACTGGAGCCGTCATAGATATGAGTCAGTTGCCAAGTAAGTGTTTGAATTTGGATCGTGTGACCATGGGGGGAATGCTTCAATGGTCATAAGTGAGGATAACGTCGTCAATCACTTCTTTCAGTGCGGCTATAACTTTAAACGGTCATAAAACGAATTGTTGCAAGTTGAGGACTGTCTGTAGAAGAAGAGGGCCCAACACTCAGGATGAAAAAACCTCCAGCGATGGAACGTCCACAATTTCTGAAAACAAGCTGTTCCACTGATTAATTGTTCTTACGGTAAGGAAGTTACTCCTTAATTCCAGGTTGCTTCTCTCCTTGATTAGTTTCCATCCATTGTTTCTTGTCCTGCCTTCTGATGGTTCGAAAAATAAGTTGACCCCCCCTTCTTTGGGGCGGGGTCTTAAGATATTGGACAATTGCTATCATGTCATCCCTAGTCCTTCTTTTCTCCAGACTAACCATGCTCAATTCCTACAACCATTCTTCACAGGTTTTAGTCTCCAGGCCTTTAACCGTCTTAGTTGCGCTTTTTTCAAAGCCTCAACATTTTTTATTTTTATTTGGTAATGGGGTGACCAAAACTGGATGCAATATTTCAGGTGTGGCCGTACTAAGGCTTTATAAAGCAGTATTAATACCTCATGTGATTTTGATTCAGATTATCAGAAAAATCTGCCACCTATGCAGCTATGGATGGAATAACGGATGGAAACTGAACAAGGAGAGATTTAACCTGGAATTAAGGAGAAACTTTCTGACAGTGAGAACAATGAACTCATGGAACAGAAGTTGCCCTCGGAAGTTGTGGGAGCGTCATCACTTGAGACTTTCAAGGAGAGACTGGACGGCCATTTGTCAAAAATGGTGTAGGGTCTCCCGCTTGGGTGGGGGGTTGGACTAGATGACCTACAAGGTCCCTTCCAACTCTGATTATCTGTAATCTATGCATATTTAAGAAAACAGATACAAAATTATTTTTTAAAGGTATCTAAGTTAATGCCGTTATCTAATTAACACGGTGCAGCCTGGCTGGAAATTTGTATTACTAGGTTTTGCAAGAGCACATTTTCGAGAGAGGAAAAGCGTATGATGTGCAGCTCGAAGAATGTGCAGTGGGCTGTGATCCAAAGAACTGAAATAATATCAGCTTTAAATGAGTCTACGCTGTTCTTCCTCAACTGTCCTCTGGACGGCTAAGTAAGTTTTTATTATAGAGAAGGAATCACTTCCTTTAGTCCTCTCGATTTCCCAAAGCTTTTGCATTTTGGGAAGTCCTTTCTCCTGAACTTTGCAAACGAAAAATAATTAGCAGTCTTGCATGGCTTCGCTTTAAACAGCAAGTGGAACAAATCTTTTTCTGCAAAAAAAAAAAAAGTTAACATCTCGGGTGAGCTGCAAACTTGGATCAACAAACAATCTCTTTGGTTGCAAAGCCATCTATCCATCATGTAATAGTAGTTAATAGTTACTACTCAATAGTAGTAACTGTGAGAAGGATCTCGGAGTCCGAGTGGACAACCATTTAAATAGGAGCCATCCATGTGCAGCAGCTGCCAAAAATGCCAACACAGTTCAAGGCTGCATAAACAGAGGGCTAGAATCAAGATCATGTTAATGCCGCTTTATAATGGAATACTGCAATCAGTTTTGGTCACCACAATGTAAGAGATGTTGAGACTCTAGAAAGAGTGCAGGGAAGATCAACAAAGAGGATTAGGGGACTGGAGGCTAAAACATAAGAAGAAAGGTTGCAGGAACTGGATATATCTAGTCTAATGAAAAGAAGGACTAGGAGTGACATGACTGCAGTCTTCCAATATCTCAGGGGCTGCCCCAAAGAAGAGGGAGTCAAGCTATTTTCCAAAGCACCTGAGGGCAGGACAAGAAGCAATGGGTGGAAATTAATCCAGGAGAGAAGCAACCTAAAACTAAGGAGAAATTTCCTGATAGTTAGAACAATTAATCAGTGGAACAACTTGCCTCCAGAAGTTGTGAATGCTCCAACACTGGAAGTTTTTAAAAAGATGTTGGATAACCATTTGTCTGAAGAGGTGTAAGGGTTTCCTGCCTAGGCAGGGGTTGGACTAGAAGACCTCCAAGGTCCCTTCAAACTCTGCTATTCTATTCTATTCCATTCTATTCTCTAAACTCGTTTATTAAAGGCCTTCTCCCGCAGATGGTATTTTTCCAACCAGGATTGATTGCAACTCTAGGGATCTTCCTTAAAAGATTCCATAGAAGGATAGGAATCGTGTTTCCTTCACAGTGGTTTTCAAACTAGACAACTTTAAGAGGTGTAGACTTCAATTGTGGAGTTCTGGGAGTTGAAGTCCACACCTCATAAAAGCAGGCTTAAAGCAAGATCTTGTAACTGTGGGATGATGATCCTGTTTTTGTTTTTTTTTTAAACCCTTTTCAGAAATGCAATTTAGAATAAGCAGGGCTCAAAACATTTCTCCTGTATCTCTTTCTAGGAGAACATCTGCGAAGTTTCTATAACAACCTGCAGCTTGTCCAAAATGTGAACAAATAAAATGAAAGCACTCAATAAGGTTTCTCCCAAAGGATGATAGACATAAGTTGGAAGCCAGGTTTTGGAATAATCACCAGTGAATATTATGGACCAGTGTATCTTCACAACAGTAAATATGAAAGGAAACGATGAAGAGACGGGAACAGCCTATTCTCCAAAGCAGCTGAAGGCAGGACAAGAAGCAACAGATGGAAACTAATCAAGGAGAAAAGCAACCTAGAACTAAGGAGGAATTTCCAGACAGAACAATTTACCCATGGAACAGCCTGCCTTCAGAAGCTGTGGACGCTCCATTCTGGGAGTTGAAGTCCACACGTCTTAAAGTTGCCACGTTTGGGGACCTCTGATCTCAGGTTGTGGGGAGCTGAGACAGGAAACCCAAATCTCTTTAAAGTATTTTTTAAAAAATCCTAGAAAAAGAGGGTGTCAATTCATTTTCATTTTCTTGCCAGGAAAGCTACAGAAATAACCTCCATTTGCAACCAATAAAAAAGGTGCAAATGGTCCTCGCTTAGCAACTCCCCCATTTAGTGACCAACTGCAGTTAACAGTGGTCATGAAAAATTACTTTGCAATCTTTCTCGCATTCATGACCCCTGCGGGTCTGTAAAACAAAAGGAAGCTGAAGTAAGGTCATAGCCCAGATTTTACTCAGCAACTGCTTTGCTTAACAGCCAAGTTCCTAGTCCCAATTGTGGTCACTAAACAAGGACTACTTGTACATGAAGGTATGATTACTTGTCTTATACCACACCAAGATCCCACCCAAAAACTGGACCAATCAGGATCCAAAAATAGGCAAATCGGAAACTTCCCTGGGCAAACACCAACTCAGGATTCACTTAACTGTGATAAAAATGGTTGTAAAATCAAGTCAGATCACATGATTATTCACTTAATGACCACATTGCTTAGTGACTAAAATCCCAGGCATAACTATGGTTGTAAGTCAAGGAATCTATCTATAAATACATAAAATAAATTGCAAAATTCTTCAGGCTCTCTTCATAATCTATCTGCCAGCTAAATATTTTAGGGCAGAATTGGCCAAATTAATTGTGGCGTTAATTTAATCAACTTTAGAAAACAGGGTTAATACAGATGCTTAAAATAGGTCAGCAGGAAGATAGATAGCATCATTAATTCATTGCAAAAAAAAAAAATACTATTTTTTTAACCCCCACACCCATTGTCTGTGGCTTCAAAGTTTGGTTGAAGAAGAAGGGAATTTCAGAAAACCACCCTTTGCAGAGGTGAGAGTGATTAGGAAATGGGGAACCCTTTCATCTGTCTATTGTCCACATTCATTCTGTCCACAAAATAGGACGGAAATTCTGTGTCCCCCACAACAGAATCATTTTGATATAATAAATATAAACATAACAAGCTTTTGGTGAAACTGAGAACTGCCTGTAAAGCGGTCTACAGAGAGTCAAGCAATAAATATGCAAATTTCATATTTTCTGGATCAGTACTTGATCCAAAGTTACTCCAAAACTCATTGGCTCTTTCCTAGAAAGCCACAATTATATCATATAAATAAATAAATACATATTTTCCTTTGTGTCATCCACATTTGCTTCATATTAAGTAGAATTTTCCCATTGT